GTATAACGTCAGCGAGGAAAGTCGAAGCAGTGCAAACAGGGTGAGAAGTTGAAGGGAGGGCAAGAGGGTACACGCATAGTGTTTGGCGACGGCCGGATGTACGAGGGTAGCAGACCACATCACTCGTCGCCCCAACCGGATGCCACGACATTGAAATACAAGCGAACCCCTTGCGAACGTTCACGGGCAGCCGGTTAGCCTAGTGAAGAGTAGTAAGGCTTAGCCAACCACCCTTTAGAATTTTCTTCCTATTATTTTTCTTAAAGTCAGAAACAATCGATGCTTATCAACTTGATATTTTTTATTTTTTTTTTTTTTTTAGATCTTTATAAGATAATAGAACAGCTATTAGAGATTACGTAGGTCATCATATTAAAAATAAAATGAATCAAAATATAATCATATCGATTTTTTATCTATTATCGAGTATCTCAATAACAATCGTTTTTTTATCTATATCGATCGATTTTGTTTTTCCAAATTTTGCTCGACAAGATCAACAATTTCGACGACGAAGTCGTTTAAAAATGAATAAAATTTAATGGAGTTTCTAAAAGATCAATAATTTTCTAACAATATGTGATTTTTTTTTTTTTATTATTATTATTGTTATTATACCATGTATTTTGATAAAAATCACGAGCTTCGTATTATTTATTTCTTTCTTTCGATTTTACATTAAAAACGTATAATACCGATGTGTTTGATCGTTCTTCTTTTGTGATAGAAAATGTTAGGAAAAAAAAAAAAAAACAAAAGAAAAAGAAAAGAAAGGAAGAAATATTGGATCGAAAGAAGAAAAGGTCTAGGAAAAGAAGAAAATAAATATATATATATAAAGGAAATAAATCGAGAAAAGAGGCCAAGAAGCGGAAATGGAGGTAGAGAGGTAGGTTAAAGGCTCGCCGCCGAAGAAGAATCCAATCGCAATGGAGTTAAGTGTTCGAGAGTAAAACTTAGCCAAGGCACGACCTCGATTACTCGCGAAGGATTTGTTGCAGGCAACCATTTCTACGACTTCCTTAGACCTAAGGTAACCATTGATACAATTTCCTTTTCGCTTCTTTATAAACTTTTGGTTAAACTTTGAAAATTTTTCAGCTAAACTTTGAGATACGTCAAACATAAAAATAAATATAATATTTGTGCGTATAACACGTAATAGAATAATTTTTACATTAAATGTCTTTTACGATTCAAAGTTCAAGTATTTAAATGCACTTTGATAAGTTTTGTTCTCAACGATTGGATACATACGTAAATTTAAGATATTCGATAAGATTTAATAACAAACATTTTATACGAATCAATTTTTTTTTTCTTTTTTTTCCTGATATATATCATTGTCAATTTTAAAGCACGAATCTATTTTATTTTATCTGATTTCTGTTTCTTACGATTATTTCGATTATATCACAAATTCTTATCGTTTATAAAGTTTTTTCTTTGTCTTTTCTTTTCTTTTTTTCTATCAAGAACAATCGTTAATTGAAATGAAAGGACAGCATGCAAATGGGAAGAAAAAAATCAAAGAGAAATTGTAAAGAAAGGTAAGATATTTTTGTAAAAAGAAAATTAAATTTTTCCTCGGGAAATTAATTTGTAGCGATGATTCTTAATAAATGAAAAAAATAAAAAAATAAAAATTTTTTTTATGTACTTCTTTTTAAATTAATAGAACTGTCGGAGATTAAATTTAAAATTATCGACAAAAAAATCTAAATTAATCTAACTAAACATTAGATATTCTACGAATAAAATATTAATAATGTAAAATCTCTCTCTCTCTCTCTCTCTCTCTTTCTCTTTGCGTTTGGGATTTTTCCTTGTAAAATACAATTCAACTTTAGTTATGATGTCATACTCGGTGGGGGAAAAAAAAAGTATACTGATAATTGATCTATGAAAGAAAGAAAAGATCGGGACGTAAATGAAGGAATTTTGAAGGAATAATAATTGTATCAATATCGACAGAAATTTGAGAAAATTCGAAAATGATAAAATAAAAGGGTCGAATTCTAAAAGAAGGAAAATCATATTTGAAGATTCGACGATTTCATTTTGAGATCCCATTCACGTTCACGTACATATGAACAGAGTTTCTTAGCTGGTTCCTCCCCCTTTTTTCTTCGCGAAAATCCTCGAGGTCGTTATATCGGTAACGATGGGACCGGCACGTCAGGCTGTTACCGCCACGTGCGGCCATAATATCCTAGAAAAGTTTGCCTGGCCGGCAAGAGAAAATAACTTGATACTACTCGCGCTTAAAGTCTTGCCGCGGAGTCAAACTTTCCAACAGGAATCCTTCCGGCTTTTCCAGAAATGATTATAACGCCGATATCACGAACCTCCTCTTGGGCAGTTTTCGTTAAGTTCGAACCGTGAATCTCGATGCATTCTATATATCGAATCAACTTATTTCCGAAATAATGCGAGCCTTAGAATAGATAACGAAGAAGGAGGAGAAGTAAATAAACAAACAAATAAATAAATAAATAAATGAAGTAAAAACGAAAGAAGAAATTAAAAATTCATAAAACTCTGTCCAATTTGTCTTTCGACGTTATAGTAACGAAACTAATGAGAGAAAACGAAATGACGAAAGGGATGATAGTGTAGCTACCATGAAATTGCGTTAAATCTTTGACGAAAGTAAGTACGTTACTTCACGCAGGACGTTGCCTCTATCTCTTCAACTTCACCTCCCCTCACTTCACCTCACCATACCTCACGTCACCACCCGTCTTAAAAGCGAGACGAGAGAAGGAAGTAACAGAGGATCCAAAGAACTAGCAGAGCTTTACATTGAGTGGAAAAGTTAAGAGATCGACCAAGACGATCCTTCCGCTTACGCAATGAAATGTCGCCTCTTTTACTTTCAGCTAAGCCTTTTCCCCCTTTCTATCTTCATTTCTTCTAACTTTTTCTCACGGTCTCCCTCTTTTTCTACCCTTGATTTTCCCATTACGAGGGAACGATGATGGTAAGTTCCGAGGCTTATTAAATTGTAACAACTTTAATTAGAGAAACGGTGTTAGTATCTCTCTCTCTCTCTCTCTCTCTTCCTATCTCTCTTTCTCTTTCTACTTCTTTCTTTGCCTTCTCTCCACTTCTCTCTCTCTCTCTCTCTCTCTCTCTCCCTTTCTATCTTTATATCTCCTTCGTCTCCAGCTGTTCCAACAGCATTGCGAAACTCTTTCGATTGGCAGTGCGAGAAACCGGTGGCTACGAGGCATCCCTTACTTTCCTTTTAAAAGTTAGCGCCACCTGCGCGAACATCGCTTCTTTCTTATTTATCGAAAGACCACTACGAAGGAGTCGTGACTATTCGCAACACGTGCTGCCGTTTTGCTTTCTTCTTCTTCTTACCCTTCCCTTTCCTCTCTCCTATTCCCTTATCGCCCACAAACCTCCTTCCTACTTCGTCGCCTCTTTCTATTCCATGTATTTTCTCTCTCTTTTCTTTTTTCCTTTTTCGCAACCAAACGAGTGAAACTTTCTTATGCATTAACAAAATTCTTCGGAATTTGTAAACGCATGACCCTCCTACTTCCAACATACCCTAGTCAATGTCCTATTATAATATATTCACATATGTTTCAAATCTCTCTCACTCTTTCCTTTACTCTTCTTCCATCTTTATTTTTCATTTAATTTTTTAAACATTAATGGACAATTAAAATCTTTCGACGTATATTAGATTTATGGTCTTTCACAATTACCGCGTAATTATAATCATTAAGTATATATAAAATTTTCTCGATCCTCTCATCACACTTATCCCACGCCCAAAATCTTTTATGTTGTATCGTTTATTATTGTTAAAACATTTCAATAAATTAAAAATATATCTGTAGTTACAGTTTGTAGGATTATTAAAGTTTATATAATCAATTGATTTTTGTCTTCTTATACAGTTTGTAACATATTATTGAATATCGTTAAATCCTTATAATAATGCGAAAGAAGATAGATATGATTCATTATAAAAATTAGATGATAATAATTCGTATTAGATAAGGCCGATTTATACACCTGTTCTATTGAAATAGGAGATAAATAGAAAGATAGATAGATAGATAGATAGATAGATAGATAGATAGAGAGAGAGAGAGAGAGACAGAGAAACAAAGAAAGAGATAAAGAGAGAGAGAGAGAGAGAGAGACAGAGAGACAAAGAAAGAGATAAAGAGAGAGAAAGAGAGAGAGACAGAGAGACAAAGAAAGAGATAAAGAGAGAGAAAGAGAGAGAGAGAGAGAGAGACAGAGAGAAAGAGTGAGATTACAAAATTTAATAATTTTATAATTAATTTTATAATCTTAAGAATATTGACCATCTTTTCTCATCAATCACGTTCAATATTTAATTTGATGAAATCATGATTATAATACATATACGTATAGGCATAAAATATATACACACGTGCATATCTTATATGTGTTATACTCTATTTTTCAAATTTATCGATGAGTATGTGTATCTGTTTTTCGATATCCAGAATGAAATTCATCGGTTATCTGGGTAATCAATCTTATCTGATTGGATAATGAAATAATTGAAATACGTTTTAGTGAGTATATAAACTCGTTAGAATTCTTGTCAAACTATTTTGTAAATTTTACAAAGTAGATCAGATATTTTTATCACAGTAAGTAATCAATTTTACAATACGAAATTGAATAGTATTATTATAAATAATTATTACGCTCGTCTTGTTTAATAATTTGTATAGAATAATTTGTATAAATATGTATAGTATATATATAATAATAATGTATAAAATATATATAATATATTCATACATATTATGTAACAAGAATAGAATAAAATTCCTTCTATTAATGTAATTATTAAATCACTTTTCTCTAAATATATTCAAATCAAATTACCAAAATTATTTTCAAAGAAAATATTGTTATCGATAAAGATAAAATTTGGAATTGCATATTAAATATATTAATTTATTCTACAGAATTAAATGGTCTTATTTATTCTACAGATGAAATTTGCAGTAGCTCTGATTGCAATTTTGGCTATGGCCAATGCCTGGACAGTACCTAATCTTGGCAAAGGTGAGCTTTACAAGGATCTACAAGAGTTCGTAGATTTGATCCCCGACGAAAAAATCCAGAAGCTTCTTTTGCAGTATGCCGCTGAAGATGCTGAAATACAAAGAGGCTTGACATATGTGAAGTCCAATGAGTTCAAATCATTGGTTAAACAAGTCGATGCCATGCCTGATTATATCAACCTGTTGAACTATATATATGACGCTGGTGTCGACATTTACTATCTTGTAAACCTTCTCCACGATTACATGGAAATTCCTAAATTGATACCACCACAAGGCTTTTCCGAGTACGGTATCACTGGTGGATACAAGGGTCTCATCGAGGATGTCAAGAAATTCATGCCTGAAGACAAAATTAAGGCTCTTTACTATCAAAAACTTCAAACCTCTCCATTCTTCAAAGAACTCATCGATCATTTCAAATCATCCGAATTCAAAAAACTCGTTCACACCATATATACTAATCCCCAACTCCAATACATAGTTAAAAGGGCCAAGGAATCTGGTTTTGATCTCGAAAGCGTAAGAAAATTCTTCCACGTCATTCTTGGCATCGACTTTCCACTCTTCTACTATTAAAAATCTATATAGAAAAGATTAATTTAATATTATATCTTGTATCGTTTAATTTTCTCATGTTAAAATCTATCAGAGAATCTTAACGATCCAAAATCGATACAACCCACCAAATAGATCTAATAATTCGATTTGTTACTTAATATTTCCCAAGAAACTAAAACCAATAAGTTATTCAATTTTTTAATAGATAATGTTGTTTTATGATCTTTTCCCTTCACATTTATAGGAATTATCGATCGAAAATTACTCATATAATTTTATCTTATCGAAAATAAAATTTATCCGCATTATTCTTGAAATTACTTAAATATCAAGATCAATCTTGAATATATAAACCAGGACATTTTGCGCTTACGATATATTCGAATTTGACAAACTGCAGAAGCTACTAATAGATAGAACCTCTATCATTTATTGGCAATCGTAAGTATAATATATATATATATATATATATATATATATATATATATATATTATTTAATATAGAATGGAATAAGATTCTTTCTACCGATATAATTATTAAATCAGATTTCTTTAAATATTGTTATCCACCAAGACAAAATTTTGAATTGTGAATTTCAATTGAATACTCTTGATTACTTTGTAGATGAAATTCGCAATAGCTCTTGTTGCAATTTTGGCTACGGCCAATGCCTGGACAGTACCTAATCTTGGCAAAGGTGAGCTTTACAAGGATCTACAAGAGTTTGTAGATTTGATTCCTGTCGATAAAGTGACCGAGCTTGTTAAGCAATATATCGCCGAAGATGCTGAAGTAAAGAGAGGTGTGGCATATACGAAGACCGAAGAGTTCAAAACATTGGTTCAAGAAATCGAGGCCATACCTGAATATATTAAGCTATTGAATTGCATATATGAAGCTGGTGTCGACTCTTATTACCTTGTAAATCGTCTCCACAAATATCTTGGACTTCCTGAATTGACACCACCAAAAAGCTTTTCCGAGTATGGAATCACCGGTGGATACAAAGGTCTCATCGAAGACGTCAAGGCACTCATTCCCAAAGAAAAAATCAAGGCTCTTTACCATCAAAAACTCCAAACCTCTCCGGCCTTCAAACAATTCATCGAACATCTCTCTTCTCCCGATTTCCAGAAAGTTGTTAATAACGTCTATACTAACCCCCGTTTCCAATACATTCTAAACAAGGCCAAGCAAGCTGGTCTTGATCTCCAACGTATAAAAGAATTTCTTCAAACCGTTCTTGGCATCACCGTTCCGAATAATTACTATTAAATACCTGTATATGGAAAGACTTAATTTGATATTATATCTTGTATCGTTTAATTTTCTTATGTTAAAATCTATTAAAGAATTTTGACGATTCAAAATCGATACAGCATGGCTCCGATTGATTCAACTTGTAACTTAATGTTCCGCAAGAAACTAAAACCAATAAATTATTCAATTTTTTAATAAATAACCGTAGTTTTATGATCTTTTCCTTTTACATTTACCGAAATTATCGATCGAAAATTTCTCGTATAACTTTATCTTATCGAAGAATAAGTTAATTCATATTATTTTTAAAATTACTTAAATATAAAGACTAATTTTGAATATATATATAAAAAAAAAGAAAGGTTTAACATATCTTCATAATGAAATCTTAAATATAAGAATATCTGAAAATTCATATTTTTAGATATTATCGATTGAAAATTTCTAATTTATAATTAATAAATGTGAAATCCGATGAGTTCAAATTATTAGTTAAGGAAGTCGATGTCATACCTGATTATATCTACCTGTTGAATTACATATACGGCACTGGTGTCGACATTTACTACCTTTTAAACCATTATCACGATTACATGGAAATTCTTAGATTGATACAACCACAAGGCTTTTTCGAGTACGGAATCGTCGGTGGATACAAGCGTCTTGTCAACGACGATCGATGTTAAGAAATGAATTCCCGAAGACAATCATATCAAAGCTCTTTACTATCAAAAACTCTAAACCTATCCAACCTTCAAAGATCTTATGGATCATCTCACTTCTCTCGAATTTAAGAAACTTTATAATACCGTTTACAATGACCACCGTGTGCAATACATTGTGAACAGGGTCAAGCAATCTGGTCTTAATTTCGAACGCATAAAAAAATTTATTCGCACCATTTATTCAATCTGTATTCAATTCTACTACTATTAATAATCTATATGGAAAGGATTAATTTGATATTATATCTTGCATCGTTTAATTTTCTCATGCCAAAATCTATTAGAAAATCTTGATGATCTAAGATCGATACGAAACAGTTAATATATCTAATGATTCTATTTTTTACTTATTGTTTCCCAAGAAATTAAGATCAATATAATATTCAATTTTTTATCAGATAACATAGTTTTATGATCTTTACCTTTCACATTTTCAGGTATTATCGATCGATAATTCCTTAACTTTATCTTATCGTTAGATTAATCCACATTGTTCTTGCAATTACGTAAGGCCAATTTTGAATATATAAGCCACGGAATTTTGCGCACAAAATGTATTCGAATTTGACGAGGTGCAGAACATAGTAATACACAAAGCCTCAATCATTCATTGGCAATCGTAAGTATAACATTTTTATATAAATTGTTTCTCATTATAACAAATAGAATTTTGTTAAGCCATATCATTCGGTATATTTTTTTAAACTTTTAAAGCATACAATTGTAATATTATAAATATATATATATATATATATATATATATATATGTATATTACTATATTTAACAAGAATGCAATAAGGTTCTATCTATCGTTGTAATTATTAAATTAGATTTCTTTAAATATGTTCATTAACTTACTAAAAATTATTTTGAAAGAAAATATTGTTATCCATTAAAACAAAATTTTGAATTGTGAATTTCAATTGAATACTCTTATTTATTCTATAGATGAAATTGGCAGTAGTTTTGGTTGCCACTTTGGCTGTGGCCAATGCCTGGGCAGTACCTAATTATGAAAATAGCGAACTTAAAAAGGATCTACAAGAGTTCGTAGATTTGGTACCTGTTAAAGAAATCAAGAAGGTTATTTTGGAATATGCCGCCGAAGATGCTGAAGTTATGCAAGGTTTGGCGTATGCGAAATCCGAGGAGTTCAAATCAATGGTTAGAAAAGTCAATGCCATGCCTGAGTATATCGACCTGTTGAACTACATATATAGATCTGGTGTCGACATTTACAACTATGTAAACCGTATCCTCAGATACATTGGAGTTGATGAATTGAAACCACCAAAAAGCTTTTCCGAATACGCTATCACCGGTGGATACAAAGGTCTCATTGAAGATGTTAAGAAATTAATTCCCATAGACAAAATCAAGGCTCTTTACAATCAAAAACTCCAAACGTCTCCGGCCTTCAAAGAACTCGTGAAACGTTTCAACTCTCCCGAATTCAAGAAACTTTATGATACTGTCTTTAATGACCCTAGTCTGAAACATATGGTCATCGTAGCCAAGCAAGCTGGTCTTGATCTCGAAAAAGTCAAACAACTTGTTCACGACATTTGTCCCATCTGTATTTCGTTGTAGAACTATTAGAAACCTATATGGAAATGATCAATTTAATATTATATTCTGCATCGTTTAATTTTCTCATGTTAAAAACTATTAGAGAATCTTGACGATCTAAAATCTATACGACCCGGCTGATACATTTAATGATTCGATTTTTTACTTATTCTTCCCTAGGAAACCAAAACCAATAAAGTTTTCAATTTTTTATCAGATAACATTGTTTTATGATCTTTTCCTTTCACATTTTTAGGCATTATCGATTGAAAATTTCTTATATAACTTTATCTTATCGAAAAAAAAAATTAATCGTCATTATTCTTGAAATTATATAAATATCAAGGGCAATTTTGAATATATAAACCACGACATTTTGCACTCACCATGTATTCAGATTTGTCAAAGTGCAGAAGCTACTAAAAGATAGAACCTCTATCATTTATTGGCAATCGTAAGTATAATATTTACATATATATATATATATATATATATATATATATATGTAAATATTATATATATATATATATATATATGTAAATATTATATATATATATATATATATATATATATATATATATATACATATGTATATTACTATATTTAACAAGAATGGAATAAGATTCTATCTATCGTTGTAATTATTAAAATAGATTTCTTTAAATATGTTCATTAAGTTACCAAAAATTATTTTGAAAGAAAATATTGTTATCCATTAAAACAAAATTTTGAATTGTGAATTTCAATTGAATACTCTTATTTATTCTATAGATGAAATTGGCAGTAGTTTTGGTTGCCATTTTGGCTGTGGCCAATGCCTGGGCAGTACCTAATTATGAAAATAGCGAACTTAAAAAGGATCTACAAGAGTTCGTAGATTTGGTACCTGTTAAAGAAATCAAGAAGGTTATTTTGGAATATGCCGCCGAAGATGCTGAAGTTATGCAAGGTTTGGCGTATGCGAAATCCGAGGAGTTCAAATCAATGGTTAGAAAAGTCAATGCCATGCCTGAGTATATCGACCTGTTGAACTACATATATAGAGCTGGTGTCGACATTTATTACTATGTAAACCTTATCCTCAAATGCTTTGGAATTTTTCCATTGGAACCATCAAAGAACTTTTCCGAATACGGTATCACCGGTGGATACAAGGGTCTCCTCGAAGATGTTAAGAAATTAATTCCCATAGACAAAATCAAGGCTCTTTACAATCAAAAACTCCAAACGTCTCCGGCCTTCAAAGAATTCATGAATCATTTGAACTCTCCCGAAGTCAAGAAACTTTATGATGCTGTCTATAATGACCCCAGTCTGAAACATATGGTCATCGTAGCCAAGCAAGCTGGTCTTGATTGCGAACAAATCGTAGAATTGATTATGTTACTTTGTTCCAGCTGTATTTGGTTCTAGAACTATTAGAAACCTATATGGAAATGATCAATTTAATATTATATTTTGCATCGTTTAATTTTCTCATGTTAAAAACTATTAGAGAATCTTGACGATCTAAGATCTATACGACTCGGCTGATATATTTAATGATTCGATTTTTTACTTATTCTTCCCTAGGAAACCAAAACCAATAAAGTTTTCAATTTTTCATCAGATAACGTTATTTTGTGATCCTTTCCTTTCACATTTTTAGGCTTTATCGATCGAAAATTTCTTATATAATATTATCTTATTAAAAAATAGGTTAATTTACATTATTCTTGAAATTACTTAATTATCGAGACCAATTTTGAATATGTAAAACATGATATTTTCCACTTACCATGTATTCGAATTTTACGATGTATTCGGAAAGTGCAAAAGCATAAAATTGTAATACTATGTTAATATACATACACATATACACACAATCGGCGACAAGAATAAGTGGATAAGTACAGGAAATAGATAATGATAAAGTTTAATCGAATTAACGTGACTGTTATATACTGAAAATTTATTTATTATGTATTCTTATAGTATATACATTATTCAATAAAAAAAGTCATATTTACATTTGTGTGGTAAGGAAGCCACATTTAATGATATTGTTGGCTATTTATTGAGAGGCAAAAAGAAGTGGACACTTGGTTTAAATACTTTCGCGGGGCAAAAAAGGTATAAAAATATTAGACACATTTCACGCTTAGATTCCCTGATCCCAAACAATTTTTTCAATACCATTTCAGACTTCGTAAAAGTAAAATTATTTGTAAAAGATTTCAGAATATCAAAAACCTATGAAATTTTTATTCAAATTCGCCGATTAATTGTTTCCGATTGCCTTAATAAAGTAAGTTTTCGTGTGATAGCATGAAAATATATAGGAAATATATGGTCTCAAAAGATGATCTGAAAAAAATTTATAAAATTACCTAGCAGAATAATACTGTGGAAAATTTTTAATGTCGTGGACGCAAATGTTGTACCACCGTACACAAAGACTGTCGAATTATTCGAAAGTTTCAACAAGATCCAACAATTGCTTCGAGAAATATTGTGGAAACGTTATTACAGAAACAATTAAAAGTTTCCACAGAAATAATAAATCGAAGATTTGTACGAAGTTGAATTAAAATACTACAAATCTATACGTAAATCATATATTAATAAATATAATATGAAAAAGTGAATAATGAATGAGTATAAATATATTAGCATATTGAATGAAAATTTAGAAGAGGCAACGGTAAAAATGAGTCTTGAGGAAAAATTTGTCTTCCAACAAAACAACGATCCCAAACATGCTGCCAAGAAAACTATGAAATTTTTTTAAAAATCAAATATTAAATAGCTCGAATGGCTGGCCCAAAGTTCTGACTTAAATCTCATTGAAAACTTATGAAATTTATTAAATGCGAAAGTTTCATTAGATCAAAGAACTAATAAGGAGAATTTTTTTAATAGTTTACAAACAGCATTTGAAAATATTAATAAATTTTGAAAATATTAATATATATATATATATATATATATTTAATGAGAATAGAATAGGATTCTTTCTATTGGTGTAATCAGTTTTCTTTAAAATACGTTCATCGACTTATTATAATTATTTTCAAAGAAAATTTTGTTATCAACAAAGAGAAAATTTTTAATTCTAAATTTCAATTGAATACTCTTATTTATTCTACAGAAGAAATATAGAAAGAATTCGAAGTAGTTTTGATTGTCATTTTGGATACAGCCAATATCTGCATAGTAATTAATCTTAGCAAGACGAGTTTCATTAGAATCTACAAGGTGTTTATTGATTTGATTCTCGTCGATAAAGTGGATGAGCTTCTTAAACAATATGTCACCAAAAATGCTGAAGTATAAAGAGGTTTAACATATGTGAAGATCGATCAGTTTAAGACATTGGATCAGCAAGTCGAAGCAGTACCTGAATATGTCAAGCTGTTGAACCATATATATGACGCTGTTATCGACATTTACTACCTTGTAAACCGTCTCCACGATTACATCGGGTTTTCTAAATTAACATCACCACAAGGATTTTCTGAGTACGGAATTACCGGTGTATACAAGACCCACGTCGTAGATTTTAAGTAATTCATTTTCAAAAACAAAATCAAGTCTCTTTACCATCAAAAATTTCAAACCTCTTTGACCTTCAAACCTCTTTGATCTTGAAACATTATATCGAATATATTCTTCCAATTTCTAGAAAGTTGTTAACACCCTCTATTCTAACCCCTAATTTCTAATACATTGTGAACAAGGCCAATCAAGTTGATCATGATTTCCAATACATAAGAGAATTCTTTTATTATTAATTTTTGATATTATCGTCCCGGCTTACTATTATCAAAAATCTGTATATGGAAAGAATTAATTTGATATTATATCCTACATTGTATAATTTTCTTACGTTATAATCTTTAGAGAATCTTGACGATCCACGATCGATACGAAACAGTTAATGGATTTAATGATTCGATCTTTTACTTATTGTTCTCCAAGAAATTAAGACCAATAAATTATTCAATTTTTTATCAGATAACGTTATTTTATGAACTTTTCCTTTCCGGCATGTACCGGCATTATCGATTGAAAATTTCTTATATAACTTTATCTTATCGAAAAATACGTTAATCGACATTATTCTTGAAATTACATAAATATCAAGGCCAATTTTGAATATATAAACCACGGCATTTTGCACTCACCATGTATTCAGATTTGTCAAAGTGCAGAAGCTACTAAAAGATAGAACCTCTATCATTTATTGGCAATCGTAAGTATAATATTTATATATATATATATATATATATATATATATATATATGTATATATTATTTCTCATTATAACAAATAGAATTTTGTTAAGCCATATCATTCGGTATATTTTTATAAACTTTTAAAGCATACAATTGTAATATTATAAATATATATATATATATATATATATATATATATGTATATTACTATATTTAACAAGAATGGAATAAGGTTCTATCTATCGTTGTAATTATTAAATTAGATTTCTTTAAATATGTTCATTAACTTACTAAAAATTATTTTGAAAGAAAATATTGTTATCCATTAAAACAAAATTTTGAATTGTGAATTTCAATTGAATACTCTTATTTATTCTATAGATGAAATTGGCAGTAGTTTTGGTTGCCACTTTGGCTGTGGCCAATGCCTGGGCAGTACCTAATTATGAAAATAGCGAACTTAAAAAGGATCTACAAGAGTTCGTAGATTTGGTACCTGTTAAAGAAATCAAGAAGCTTCTTTTGGAATACACCACCACAGATGCTGAAGTTATGCGAGGTGCGGCATATGCGCAGTCCGAGGAGTTCAAATCAATGGTTAGAAAAGTCAATGCCATGCCTGAGTATATCGACCTGTTGAACTACATATATAGAGCTGGTGTCGACATTTACTACTATGTAAACCGTATCCTCAGACACATTGGAGTTGATGAATTGAAACCACCAAAAAGCTTTTCCGAATACGCTATCACCGGTGGATTCAAGGGTCTCGTTGAAGATGTTAAGAAATTAATTCCCAAAGACAAAATCAAGGCTCTTTACAATCAAAAACTCCAAACGTCTCCGGCCTTCAAAGAACTCATGGATCATTTCAACTCTCCCGAATTCAAAAAACTTTATGATGCTGTCTATAATGACCCCAGTCTGAAACATATGGTCATCGTAGCCAAGCAAGCTGGTCTTGATCTCGAAAAAGTCAAAGAATTTCTTCACGAAATTTGTCCCATCTGTATTTAGTTCTAGAACTATTAGAAACCTATATGGAAATGATCAATTTAATATTATATTTTGCATCGTTTAATTTTCTCATGTTAAAAACTATTAGAGAATCTTGACGATCTAAGATCTATACGACTCGGCTGATATATTTAATGATTCGATTTTTTACTTATTCTTCTCTAGGAAACCGAAACCAATAAAGTTTTCAATTTTTCATCAGATAACGTTGTTTTGTGATCTTTTCCTTTCACATTTTTAGATATTATCGATCGAAAATTTCTTATATAATTTTATCTTATCGAAAAATAAGTCAACCTACATTATTCTTAAAATTACTTAAATATCAAGGCCGATTTTTGATATATAAACCACGGCATTTTGCATTGAAGATGTATTCGTATTTGATAAAGTGTAGAAGGTATTAATATATAATCTCAATCATTTACCGACAATTTGAAAGTATAATATTTTCATATATATTGGCTTCTTATCAGAACAAATAGAATTTTGCTAAGGTATATCATTCAATATATTTTTTTAAATCTTCAAAGCATATAATTGTAACTATATATATATGTATATATATATATATATATTTCTTTTTTCTAAAAATTTCAACAATAACAGTATACATTACATAGGGTTAATTCCACACTTTGTTTAAATTAATGGAATTAATTTGCCGTTCTGTTTCATTGAAATAATTAGTTAGTTCATTATATCTTAATAATATTTGTTTATTCTTTGCAGATGAAGTACCAGCTAACGTTTATCGCGTCATTGATTTTAATTGGAGTATCCGCCTATTCTCCTAATATTGATTGGACTATGAATGAATTGGATCACGATATAATAGATTTTTTGAAGATTATGCCTGTACGCCAAATATTAAATATAGTAGAAAAATATAATAGTGATCCTGAAATGATAGCTATAGGAAAATATGTCATGAGCGATGAATTCCGTCAGTTGCTTTATACCGTAGAAGATTTGCAGGAATTTAAGAATTTCGTTCTATACCTTCAAGAAGCCGGTTATAACAAGATAAGAGAAATGAAGGCGCTCCATGTACTTCTGAGAATGAGAGATTACGTGCCACCTCAACCATCGAATCTAATGGTTGAAACTGGATATGGTGGTTTAAATGGTTTCATAAATGAAATTGTCGCAGTACTTCCTAAAGAAAAAATCCAGGAACTTCACCAACAGAAACTCGTAAAATCGGCGGCCTTCGCGAAATTCAATTCTTATGTTCTTTCGGAAAAATATGTTCAAATCGAGAATGCTTTGAACAGCAAGAATGAATATAAAAAATTAAAAGAAAGATCGAATGCAGTTGGCCTTGATATTCAAGCAATTAATAAATTCAAGTACCAACTGCTTGGATTTTAGAAATAAATCGAATATTATTTTAATTAATATAATATCGGATATGATATTTTTCATATTTAAAATTAAATCGTTATTTTAATCGTTATCTTAAATAAAATAATCGATATCAAAAATTAATAATATATAACAATGGAATTTCCTTTATTCATTCATTATTCCAAAAATAATAATAGGTAAATAATAATAATTCTAAGTATAGATGTACGTATGTTATTTATCAATACATTATTGATTTATTCTATTTTTATATTTTCTTTTGATCTAATAAGCGAACATATTTTCGATATACATTTCGAACTTTGAGTACACATACCACTTAAATTTTATTTGTAAACAATATAGATTAAAGATAAACATGTTTTTCCTATGACGTAAATGTTTTCAATAGAAATCTATCTAATCGTATCTAGAAAGAAATATAATTCTTTATTTAATTATATTGAACAATCCGTAATCTACAATATATATATGTATATATATGTATATTGAAGGGAAAAATATTATTAGTGTTATTGGCATGTTAATTTAACCCGATAGACAGGCGCCATATTGAGGAAATCAACATTATACTCGAATTCTAATTAAATATTAAAATTATATTTAATATATGTGAAAATATGTGAAAATATTAAAAAACATATCACATGCTGTTCACTGTTCACCGTATTAATACCCAGCTCTTATTTTCTTTTCATAAACATGCTTATATAATATTTGCTTTTCATAAACTTGTCTCTTACAGAGACAAATCATGCGCTATCTCTGATTACCGATCGACTTACTTAAACACGCACACATTACTTATTAGTTCTAAAATCTTATCTTATTATCAGCATATTTTTCACAAATACACAAACACATAACTAATTACTATGAAACCTTCCATCTCTTCGTTCAATTGTCAATCGCCATATCTCACATACACATACACATTTAACTAACTACCCTGAAACTTACATATATATACATATACATATTTATACTGTATCATTAGATAAACTATCTTACAATTTTTATAAAAATTATTCTTTTTTATAAATAATTCTTAATCACGATATATTTGCGTATAAATATCTGCTTTGCGAGGATTACGATATATTCGAGTTTATCATCGTGCGATATAAACTATTGTGTACCGTTCTGAACAATAATTTCAACAACTGTAAGTATAATCGATTACTATATTTTAACAATTAAATTTTTATTGTTATCATTTTTGTTTGGTTTTTTTTTTTAAATAGATGAAGTACGTTTTCACGTTCTTCGCGACTTTAATTGTCGTTGGAGTTTCTGCTATACCACTTAATGGCGATCGTACGAATTTATTGAATGGCAATAGATCAGATATATTTATTAACAATCTTTTGGGTATATTTAATGGCAATAATACGGAAGAAAATCCTTTGGATAAAGATCTTATTGATTTCGTACGACTCATACCTCACGACAAACTAAAGAAAATTGCAACAAAATATTTGCATGATACTCAGTTAATAAAGCAACATGAATATGTAACGAGTGAAGAATTCCACAACTTGGTATATGCTGTCGAAGCCTTACCGGAACATCAGAGATATGTTCTCTATATTCAAGAATCGGGATACGATAAAATTAGAGAACTTAAAGCGATACATTCGGCTCTTGGAATGAAAGAGTATGTACCACCCAAACCATCGAATGAAGTATTTAAGAAAAACGACGAAAGAAACAAAGGTGGATTGAATGGTTTTATCGAAGAAGTTGTTGCAATTCTTCCTGTAAAGGAAATCAAAGAACTTCACGAAAAGAAACTCAAGGAATCGAAGGCCTTTGCTAAATTCAGTTCATATATTCTAAGCGAAGAATTACAAGAGATATACAAGGAACTTAGAGACAAAGAACAAATGAAAGAAATGTTAGGAGCATTAAAAAAAATTGATATTGAGTTTATGGCGATTTTGGATCTTCAACTTCGTATAGTTGGCTTTAGACCATAAATCATTTAAACATTCCTACTAAATCTATTTCGGCATATATATATATATAATGAATATAAAATTCTTGTAATGCAACTAAAATTATATTCTTATATTTCAAAAATAATAAAAAAACTAATCATTTAAAAGTTTTTAATTAATCAATCCTACAATTTACAATTAAATCCCTTTTATCGTTTTTATAAACACTGATTCTGATAATTCAGTTATAATCATATCAGTCAATTTATAAAGTATTTAAACAAATAAATTATTCGTTATATTTCCAAAGATAAATATGAACTGTGAAATAGATATATAGATTGGTAAAGTTCAATAAATCCACCAAAAAAAAATTCATGAAATCGGCATCCTTTTACAAATTCAATTCTTACATTCGTTCGGAAAAATTTGTTCAATCCAAGAATACTTTGAACAGCAAGAATGAATATATAAAATTAAAAGAAAAATCGAACGCAGCTGACCTTGATATTCAATCAATTGAAAAATTCAACTGCTTGGATTTCAGAAATAAATCGAATATTATTATGATTAATATAATATCGGATATGATATTTTTCATATTTAGAATTAAATCGTTATCTTAATTGTTATCTTAAATAAAATAATCGATATCAAAAATTAATAATATATAACAATGGAATTTCCTTTATTCATTCATTATCCCAAAAATAATAATAGTTTGTAGATGTAGATGAACGTATGTTATTTATCAATACATTGTTGATTTATTCTATTTTTATATTTTCTTTTAATCTAATAAGCGAATATTTTTTCGATATACCTTCCGGTACACATACCACTTAAATTTTATTTGTAAAAAATATTGATAAAAGATAAATGACATGTTTTTTCTATGATGCAAATGTTTTCAACAAAAATTTACGCATCTAGAAAGAAAGCTAACATTTATTTATTAGTATTAAAAAATACTTAATCTATAATATACTTCTTTCGACGGAAAAAAAAAACATTTGATAATATTACCGATATAACTATAATTAATTATATCATCCGTAAGATCTTAACCAATCAGCGAAATTATTATTATTATTTCATATAATTAGATCTTATCGTAAGATAAACTATCATACAATTTTTCTACAAATTATTTCTTTTGAATAACTCTTAATCAGGATAATATGTATATAAACACCTGCTTTGCGAGGATTACGGTATATTCGAGTTTATCATTGTGCGATATAAACTATTGTGTACCGTTCCGAACAATAATTTCAACAACTGTAAGTATAATCGATTACTATATTTTAACAATTAAATTTTTATTGTTATCACTTTTGTTTGGTTTTTTTTTTTAAATAGATGAAGTACGTTTTCACGTTCTTCGCGACTTTAATTGTCGTTGGAGTTTCTGCCATACCACTTAATGGCGATCGTACGGATTTATTGAATGGCAATAGATCGAACATATATAATGAAAACTCTTTCAATATGTTTAATGGCAATTATACGCCATCTTTGGATAAAGAACTCTCAGATTTCATGATACGTATACCTCTCGACAAACTAGGTGCAATTTTGGAAAAATACAAGAATGATCCTCAAATAATAAATGGATATACTTATCTATATCATAAACATTTCCATGGTTTGGTATATGCTGCAGAGGCATTACCAGAATACCATAGATATGTTCTCTATCTTCAAGAATCGGGATTAGACGTAATTAAACGAATGCGAATATTTCATTTAACATATGGAATGGAAGATTATGTACCACCCAAACCATTGTATGAACTATTTAAGAGGGAAGACAATTTTGAAGGTGGATTTAAAAATCTCTTCAAAGAAATTATTGCAATCCTTCCTGTAGAGGAACTGAAGGAACTTCACAAAAGGAAACTCAAGGAATCGGAGACCTTCAGCAAATTCGTTTCTTATGTGTCTGACAAAAAATTCTCTGATATCCGTAAGGATCTTGGTGAGAAAGAACCAATACAAGAAATTATAAAATATATGAGATTAGTTGGTATTGATTACCTTGATTATGAAGATCTTCTAAAACATATATTTGGTTTCGAATCATAAATTATTCAATAGATTTTTCATTCAATAGTTTTATTCATTTAGAATAAAACTGTTCCGTTATATATATATATATTAAATATCCATTTCTTGTAATACAAGTAAAAGTATATTTTTGGTCACTTTTAATTAAGAATTAATAAAAATACAGAGCATTTAAAAGTTGTTAATTAATAAATTCACAATTAAATCCCAATCCCTTTTATCGTTTTTATAAATTCTGATTCTGATAGTTGCTAAATAAACGTTAGAACCATCGATTCAGTTTTTATCATATTTGTTAATTTGTAAAGTATTTAAAACAAACAAATTACTCATTGTATATAATATACGAATAATAAAAATAAACTATAAAATAGTTTATAACTTTTTTAGTTAACATTTGTTTGTTTTAAACATTACAATTTCACTAAGCAATTAAAACAATAAATTTGATCTATTATTTTAATAGAGATTTATTATTTTAATAGCCTTGATAGTTCTACAATTAATAATGAATTTTCGTGTTAAGAGAATTGTTACTTTGTATAAGATCGATAATAAATTTATAGTAGATTTATACATTGTGACAATTTCAGGCTAGATTAAAAACAACGAAACAATGCAAATCGACGATATACATTAGATTAGATAGTTTCATTAACTCACTTCAATCTACAGCATCGAATTTGTAGGTTAGTGAATTCTAAAAATGGGGAACCTATTAAATATTTCCGTGTCCAAGCATTAGTCACACAAATTCTTTATCCTTATCATAAATATTTCCCCTCTGGCATCGTATTTCAACTTGATCAAAGAACTCTAAAATAATGAGAGCTCACGAAGGCATAAATCCCGACGGATAATTTGTGATATCGTGATTTCGTGACAACTCCAAACAACATGATTCATTTAATATATCCGAAAAGTTCCATTCGATTGTTCTACGATCCGTTTGATTTTCAAGAAATTTATATATCTCTTGTCTAAATACTTTAATGAATTTTAAATCTCCACAATCAAACGTAGGTATATATATATATATTTTTTTTTTTTTTGGAACGTCTTTCACTTTGATCGAATTCTTATACTTTATCGTATTTCAGTGTCAATATTTATAAAAATATACTAAACTATTAGAAAGATCATCGATTATTTTTTTATACATACAATGAGTAATAACGAATCAATTAAGAAGACCATATATGTATTATAATCTGAAAGTATATATATACATATATATATATATATGTATATATATGTACACATATATATACATACGCATAATATAGATACATAAAATAAAATGAATGAGTCAGTAATAATAATGGGTGTGGCCGCAGTTATGTCTGCGGTTTTTTTTGGTTTACTTGCTTACAACTTAAGAACCTTAATTACGGATATGGATTTATCAAATTTATCAATGCTGCGTGATAATAGCTCTCTCGAAGAAGATTTCAGAGACATATTGGGATTCCTTCCACTCGTCGAGATCCAAATGATTATCGAGAATTACGTTCAATACGATCCCCAATTAAACGAGACGGTGAATTTTATCAATGATCAAAAACGATTCATTTTATCGGAATTGGAATGTTTACCGCAAGTATGTAATTTTATTAACATGCTAAAGGAAAATGGATTAGACGTTGATTATTGGAATGAGATAGTCGAAAGATTTTGGAAAACCATGCCACCATTTGTTGTGCCAGATGAGTGCATTGCTACCGGTGGTTTAACCGGTATGATAAGCCGAATATTAAAGATTATACCGAGAAACGAATTGCATATTTTACTTCGACAGAAATTAAGATATTCGAAAAGTTTCGGTAAACTAATAAACTATTTGAGATCTCGATCGTTCGGTGATCTTTGCAATTCGATGGAAGATAACGCTGGACTTCAACGGCATTTTTATTGGGCGAAGGAATCTGGCCTTGAAATTGTCTTTGCAATCGAATTCGTTAGAAATCTTTACTTTTATCTTACCGAAGAGCTTGAATGAATAATTAAAAGAATGGAAGAAAGAAAGATAGAAAAAGGTAATCGTCAAAATTCAGAAAAATAAAACGATAGAAAAATCACAATAATATTAAAATGATATGATTAATGATAAAGTATCAAATATCTTACGGCAAGTAATGAGCTAAAAATGTTACTTGTAAAGAAATTAATCTACTTAGAAAGCTATATAATATTTGCTTTCATCGGGCTATAATAAACTTACTTTAATCTCGATCTTTTTTCTTTCTTTCTTTTTTTTCTTTTTTTTTTTTTTTTATTTTCAGTTACCATTCTAACGCGATGAAAGATAACATTTTGGACTTCAATGACGATTTTTTATTGAGATGAAGGAATCTGTCTTGAAATCTTGAAATCATCTACACAATCAAATTTTTGAAAAACTTTATATTGAACGTTATTGAAGAACTCAAGGAATAAATCAAGGAATTCGTAGGAAATATAGAAAAATAAAATTTTTTAAATAACAATAATTAAATGATCTGATCAATTCCGCTATTAATGATTATAATGAGAGAAATGTACTAAATGTATTACACATGTATGTTACCTCGATGTAAATTAAAATACTTTAAAAGTTTCTATAAATTGATCTGATAGTTTGAACACACACACATATATATATATAGATATCAAATTAAATTTTACATAAAAGTCTCGTAGTATGTATTTGGAACGTTCGAGGAGGTTGGTTGTTTAGATGAGATCATTCGAGTCTCGAATCTCGAAGAGAAGGTTCAGTTGGGTGCGCCGCCTCCAAGGATGGCAGCAGGAATTAATTCTACTCAAGAAGATGTCCTCCTCCTTCCCTATGGTTTGTATAGCTACGACACGCCGGTGTGAGCTTCGTGTTGAAGCCCTCACTGCGGAGTGAGAAGCGAGGAAAGGGACTGCCGGATAGGATTCAGTACGGTGCGAGACCAAGCGGCTCTCGCGGTGTCTGCGGCAAACAATTCCAATTAACTTGCTGGAATTGAAATAGGACTCGTCGTCGTCGTCGTCGTCGTCGTCGTCGTCGTCGTCGTCGTAGTCATCGTCGTCGTCGTCTTCGTCGTCGTAGTCGTCGGTCCGTCGACGCCCGCATTGTGGATGCCCCGACGTCGAGAACGAGAACGCGTTCCTTTACTCCCTCTTCCTTCCTTCCTTCCTTCCCCATTACCATCACCTTTTCCTATACCACCATTTCCACGAACATCCTTCATTTTTCTTCAAGAAATTAAAGTAACATTCCAAATGAGAAAATTAGTTGTTATAACGTATAAACCGTAAGAACGAAGAATTAATGATATAAAATTCATATCGTTCGTTGGATAATACAAGAAGAAATTTAAAATTATATTATTCATTGGAATCATTCAAATTTATCTGTATTTTCTTTTGTAATTTGTACGATCGAATTCTATTTAAGAGGATTTACAATCGAATCCAATCTCTCTCTCTTCCTCTTTTTTTTTCTCTCTATTTCTTATACAATAGTTTAATAAGCATCGAGCTTAGAAATCTTAGGTAGGAAGTGCTAAGAGTAAAATTTCCTATCTGATTCAGCGATTATAATTCAATCAGGATGAAAGGTGAAAGTAACCTTGGTTTGCGTCTGGATTCACGTTGCGCTTTCTTTATCGCGAGTACCGGTATAGGTAAATGGCGGTAGCCCGTATAGATCCATTATCCACGCGGCATAATGCTCGTCATCGTCGTCATCGTAACGGGTAGTCATAAAGCATGCGAAGCTGGTACCGTACTGCCGCCCTAGACAATACCCCTTCTGAGCTGCTCAGATATTGAAGACGCCCGAAAGCAGTGTGTACCGATCCCAGTGTGTACCCAACGTCTGGCCCAGCTCTCTACATTATTAAATTCTACCTTGCTCCTGGACCAACGACAAGGGACAATGAAGTTCTTTAAGCGTCCGTCACGTTGCCCGAGATGTGTACTCCACTTCCTATTCCGCCATACAAATCTCCTTGATCCTTGACGCACCAACCTTTTAACGATTTACGTGCTGCTTACCTTTTTAACTTTTCTCTTCTTTCTTCTTTTTTTTCTTTTCTTTCTCTCTTTCTTTTCTTTTTTTTTTTTTTTTTTTTGTTTTTCTCTATCCCTTATCGATAAACTAACGAAACTTTGTTCCTTTTCGAATTCGATACTATTAACTTCGTTTGGTACAGTTTATTATTTTAATCTTTAATAATTTTATTTAAACAGAAATTTATATAAAATGTAATATATATACATATCATTTTGATCGATGATTTTTCATGTCTTTTGGAAAATTTCACATCATTTGTGATTAAGAAATGTTCCAATTGCATTGTGGAAACTTCTAAGAATACAAAGTTTCTATGTTCAATATTAGATTTTTAAAGTATGTTGATTTGACGGATTTCAGAATTTCAAAATAATAAAAATGAATATTATTTTTTTTTTTAATAATTTATATTGATCTCGATTAATGTAATAATGTTCTAAGGACAAAAATCGATTTTGCGAAAAATAAGAATTATAAAATCATTTTGTTGATAGAATTGATATTATTGAAGGAATTTAACACGTGATCGAAATAAATATCTACTAATCCGAAAACAAATATGGAAGATGTAAGAGAACATTCCAATTTAGTTCCTTTAATTATTGCCTGTTCTGAAAAGACATATATATGTTTCCGTGTTATCTTGGTGAAAAATGATCTCCATTAAGAGCTAAGTCTGACCTACGATATAAATACGTAAGGGACATTGTAGGACCGACCTGATAATTTCTACGAAGAAGAAACGATTATTCTTCTTATCAAGAATGATTTATTTTATACAATTCGACGAAAGAAATGATATTTATGAATTCTCTCTCTCTCTCTCTCTCTCTCTCTCTCTCTCTCTCTCCTTTTCTCTTTTTCTCGATCCTATTTTCCTGTAAAAGAAAGAAAGAAAGGAGGGGAGAGAGAGAGAGAGAGAGAGAGAGAGAGATTTTCAAACAAAATATTATGAAATGAAAACAAAAAGAACTTGTGATCCTTTAACAAAAATAACATTAGTGATCCTTTATTGCATGTCTACGAATTAATATGCATTGTATTTTGCATTAATATGCATTTTAATTATGCATTGTATATATAGGATTAACTTATCTTTTTCAGAATCAATTAAATCGAATTAATATTACGAGCACTCTATCGAGACATTACAATATCTATTCTATTCTCTTCTACTGTTATTATTTTCCGGATGAATCATATCCTTGAGAATCTTCCTCTCTCTCCGGATATAGGAGGAGTTTTTTTTTAATCTTCTTTCTTTTCTTTTCTTTCTTTTATTTTTTTTTTTTTTTTTTTTTTTCTTATATACGAATGATTCATTATTTTGAATCGATATGAAATCATATGAAAGAATAGCTTGAATGAGAAAAAATATAAAACAAAAAATAATAAATAAACACACACATACATATATATATATATAGATAACACGATAATATGATAAGATTATCTACGTAACGTTTCTTGACATTTGTTATTGTCAATTACATAATGGTTATGTACGTTCTCATATATACATTTATATTTAATAATTTTCATACAATAATTAAGAAATATCCTTTCGTAATAATAATACATTTCATAATCATTCATAAATGATATATCCTATGAATAATACAATCATTTGAAATCATTCATTAATTCATAAAGTATTAACTATCTATCTTTAAAATCATCACGCGTACGATATCTATGACTCATACTGTATAATTTTCATGAATCGCCATTCACGAATACGTGATATCTATAATAAATGATAAATAATAATAAATGATAACATATCGTACCTTAAAAAATGGATAACCAATTAATGATCTTTTCAATTTCTTTCTTTTTTTTTCTTTTTCTTTTTCTTTTTTCTTTTTGTTTTTCCTTTTTTAACTTACCATTCCTATGCTTAAAAAATTGTATATTTATAGAAATGACTAATATTATGAGTTATATTGAAAATAGTCGAAACGTTAAATATATTACTATCATTTCGTAAAATTTAACCGAGTATACGGTTATTGGTAGATATACAAAACGTTTTCTCTATTTCTCTCTTTCTCTTTCTCTCTCTCTCTCTCTCTCTCCCTCTCTCATCCTTTTACTATGACTTATCGAACGCGACTTGTTGCGCTTACACGCTCGATCGCGAAACAATTGTTTCCGGGCTTTGTTAGATTACGACGCCATGGCCTTCCTATTAATAACGTTGCCCTACGATAAAGTCTCGTCGAAAATCCGGATGGTGGAACGGTAATTAAAGATCGTGGAAAACCGATAACGGACGATCGGAATGACCCTTCTCTTTCTCCTCTAAAACTATCTCTCGAATTCTCTCGTTGGTTTGACCAGTGTGCATACGACTTCTCTCTAACGTTTTCTCTAACGTCAAAACAATACAAACATTTATTATATTCGTTTAATCGATATCTTGTATAATAAAATATATATGAAATGTAAGATGAATAATGAAAGATTACGTATTAATTAATTATTTTATTAAATAAGATATATATATATATATATATAAATCTTTCCAACAATTACATTTTATTTCGTTAAAATAAATTAGAACTTTTATCGGCACGTTCTGTATATATTATAATATGTATAATATATATATATATATATATATATATATATATATATATATATATTAATTTATATGGGAACTTAAATATTAATATAACAGATGATTTAATTTCCCTCATTATATAATTAATATATAAATAATCATTCGTTTGTCTTTTCTTTCAACGAAAACATTATAGTTTCATAATAGTTCCTTTACAATTTGTCAAAATTAATTTATCACTCTTCATTCATAAAATATGATTTTTAATCGTTATCATTATTATCCATTCGCCGATGTTAAAGATCTCTTCGTTTGATACATTAAAAAGAATTTATATACGCTTTGAGAAAATGTATGAAGATATATCAAGGTCATAAAACTTTTTAGATATATCTCATAGATATATACAGGTACACAATACATACCATTGAAACGGTTTAAATTCATAAGAGGGATGCTTTCGCAGCTTTCTATTATGTCTTTTATGTATATTTATGTGCATGTATATACATACACACATACGTACATACATACATATATATATATATATATCCTTATTCAAAGCGTATCGCACTTAATTAAGCTCTTTGCCGCAACCACGAGGTAAACTTGTAGCCCCTAGAATCGAGAGTACGATACGAAAGCGTACGTGATCTCGAGAATCGCGACGCTCTGTTCTGCGATGCGGAGAGCGGCTTAAATTCCACGTTCGGCTTCTTCGGTAGAATGCTCGTGTTGTTTTCTTAAGGACGTTCGTACACCTCTCTGCGGTAACTTATGAACCAAAGGAGCGAATAGAAAATAGGATCG